ATTTTTGCCTCTTGTCAAGTGATCCCATGCAACCCTTAATCGGATCCTCTCGCAGGCGATCTGCTTGATAGTTTTGTTTCAAGCAATTAAGAACATCATCCAAGCAAGAAGATTAACTGGTCATTGCTAATTCAAGGTCTCAAGGGCTTTAAACCTACAATTGCATTTGCATTTAACGAAACTCCGGCTTCAAGTTATCGTAGGGTAGAGACAAATGATTGGATGTATGTACTCAAAAAGAAGCTTTTATTGTGACGCCCAATTGAAAGAATTGTTTTCCTAAATACAATCTGTCTATTTTGTCATCCATTCTGGAGTTGTATGGCTGCAAAACTGGCTCCCATCTCTCTTCATCCGAAAGGAAAGCCTGGACCATTTTGAATTGACAATAAATTGAAAGAAACAAGCTTTGAAACATTTTGAGTTGCAATTTTTAACAATCAACCATCTCCTGTCACTAGTTTAAAGATATTTTCAACGAATAATTAGTTAATAGCTTTCCATTATGAGTTGATTTGTGGTGAGATAGGATCACTTAAACTCAGTATTGGCCCATTTCCTATAGCATATGGAGTGTAGTCAGCCGATATCGCTTAAGGTGATAAATGAATGTTCTTTTATCTTACTTGTTTACTTGTTTACTTGTTTGTTGGTTTAGTCTCATTTTTTGCAGCTTAGTGATGTGTTTAGAGTGATGAAGGACTGGCAGTTGAATTTTTCCGCAATAATATGATTAGACCTTACGTTTCCATTGAATTGATCATGGCCTTGCTTTATCAAACGTATTTTTTTGTCCTGACAGGGGAGGATGGCAGTTTCGAGCTCTCTTGGGTCTATTCAACACCCCCTAGCGGGACTCGAACAATGACAGTACAGCGTGGAACCTCGGCAAGGATGCTAATGCCTTATGGAAGCAAGTCTATAGGAAATTAAATGAAAACGTAGGGTCTATTTATCTGATTTGAAGAAAATTTAACTATCAGTCCCCTGATCACCTTAAAAGAAATAGCGTGAATACACTTCATATGTATTATCTATTGATAATCTCGAAATCTACTTATACACGAAAAATGAATGCTTTGGTTACTTTAAAGAGATAGCATTAGCTTGTGTGCTGGGAGCTTAATTTGGGGGAAGGCATGAGGGGGACGTCTGCCCTGGTTGAGAGGCTGGAGACATTCTATAGCTTTGTGTGTTTTTACTATTCATTAATTAGTTGGATTTCGCCGAATATCCCGATAGTTCATATTTCTCCTCCGTATTTAAGGGTATCATAAGTTTTAGTAATCATTCTTCGACTAGTTTTAGCATAAAACAAATCCTGAATAGTTGCTAGAAAGACGAAGGTTCTGCATTGATTGGTCAGATTCGGCAGAAGTTCTCCGGGGACCTCTTCGCTTATGAATGCTCCATACCACTCAGCATTTTATGCATAATGAAAAGCAAAATTATGCCATATAGCAATATTTTGATCGTATATACGACAATTTACCATTATTCCCATGCAGATTGTTATAAAATATCATGTTTACTCATCCCACATGCCAGGTACTTTTGTCGGTCCTGTACTCAAACAACTGGTTGACCAGCCACAGGATGGCCGCGCTGCCACATGACCATTTAGACAAGCTTTCATGGGGTCAGCGAATTCTCTTTCTGATCCTTGGCCTAGATCCACTATTCGCACTGTTCTCCAAATTGATGTGTCGCAGCTACGACTCATCGGAACGCCTTAACAGCAACGAAGACCTCAGGAGCAATTTGGAAGCCTGGAGCATCGAGGTACGTGTGTGCCTCTTTGTTGTGTTGCGCCTATCAACTGCACACAAGCGCCTACTAGACGCAATACCATTTAGTCATTGTGACGACTATGCACGTGTCACGGCGACCTCGAACGATGTGTCATGTACCTCGTCTCATGCCACAGATTTCACGATTCCTTCAAGCACACATCCTTCAAGGGTGTGTCTGGCCGGAATCCTCAGTGAGATGCGCCAGCCTTAGCACTGAGTTACACCTCGTCTACAATTTTCTGTTAAACGGTTGTGATACACACACACACACACACACACACACATTACAAAGTGTCGTAGTCACTGACCAGAGGCCGGAAGAAAGCATGCTATCTATTGCAGAAGATAAACAAAGTTTGCATTTACACATAAAGTGTATTCACTATATTTCATTTAATTT